AAACATCATATTGCTGCAAGAATTGCATGTCAAAACCTGCACTGTGTCCTGCACCATGCTTTGAAACATGGCATACCGAAAATAATGTATAATAATTATAAAATTATAATAAATTTTTTTGTCATTTATTTATTTTTGTTTGATTAAGAACTAACATTTCGTGTAAAACTCCCAAAAATACTTTGTTGCATACAAAAATTGCTTGTTTGAACCATTAAACCTGTCATTTACGTTTTTAAATTTTTGCTGTTATAGCCGCCATCGTCCTATCACTTAGTGTATAGAGTCCGCTGGCGCCATGACGGTTATAGCCGCAACCTAATTAAAGGTACTAAATTAATCAAAATTAAGTTTATTTAAGCAGAAAGAGTAAAACTATACTTCTAACATTCTAAAAATCACAAAAACATATAGTGTCAATTTTCGAACTTCGCTTGTTCCTACTGTCCGTCAACGTGTTAATAAATACATTGCTCAGTGTAGGAACGAAAGAATAAGAATTTATAAGGAAACAACACGCAACACACGTTTGAATGAAAGCGATGAAGGCGAAATATAAATTGTTCTTAGATGCATGCTGGTTACGTCTTATCGCGATTATTGGTCAGGGCATGCCTCGATGGTAAATACAGCAATACAAAATGCAATGTCTAGAGACAGACTCAAATTTTTGTCCTAAAAGATATATTTTGCTTGACCACGCAAACAGCCTGACTGCTCCAAGACATATTATATTGATAATGTCGATTGAGTGCTTGAAAGGCACAGTATAAAAGTTTCGGCAAGATAGTTAGTTGCTTTCAAAGCATTGACAAGTCTATGCAAAATTCAAACGTCGGTCGTCAATGAAACAAAATATGCATCCAAAACCAACAAAAAGGGGCATAAAAATGTGGCTTAGTTACGATTCATTGGGCGTCATCGTTGATTGACCTCTTGAACCATCTACCACGGGCCGTTCGGTTGCCAAGTGATCGACAGATTACTATGAAAAATGTTGAAAATTTGGCCCTTTTACTTTTTGTTATGTCAAAGCTTCGTTCTCGATCAAGCTAGATCAATATCCACAATTCGAAAGTCTTTCACAGCCCTGCCAAGGCTTTCTAACTTCAGCAGCATACTTTCAAACCCTTCTCGCTATATGACCAAGAGCAACGTTTAACGGCGATGAATATTACTCTTCTTTCTCAACTCGTACCTACCTCCTAGGCATTGATGGCCTCGGCTTGAGCGGTTTGTGACAACACTTGACTGATTAGTTGATGACGGGGTAAGGATAAGTTCGGATTAAGGTTGTTGGGTAGGATTTAAGTTTTGGAACTTGCTTTCCTCAGATAGTGTACGAGGAGACAGCAAGGCTTGCGTAGGCAGGGTCGCGTCCCTGAAGTAGAACTGTTCCTTGTGATGACATGGAAGTTTCTACCCGCTACCTTATTCGAATAAATACAATAACTTCATGTTTATTTTGTTTTGCTTATCAAACAACGGTCCTGGGTGTATCGGGTATCAACCACTGAGGATCCGGAGTGACCATGATTTAACCCCCAATCGTTGATAATCATGCTAGAGTATATAAATCATATAAAAATATAAACATAGGATTGAAAACCACTAGTTCAGACATATAAAACCCGTATCACCGTGTTGATCGGTGTTTGGAACTGCTATTTCGACGACTGACGTTAAAAGAACCATTTCTGAAAATATCCATCACAAAGTTGGACTAACCAAATCGATGCAAAAATACAAAACATAATAATAATCAAATTATATAATCAGTATAATTATTAAATTTATAATATTTTAGTATATTATATTTATAAATAAATAAATTATACTAAAGGGCTTTATTCGCATAAATAGTCATCATTCAGAATAATTCAAAAGCTAAAGCTGAAATACTTCGTAATATAAAAGACAAGGTTTAGTCGTATTTCAGATACAAAATATCTGAAAGTATGTTCAACTAACCCACAGCTAAAGCTAAAGACTAAAACTATCCGACCAACAAATTTAAAACTGTTAAACGAAAAGCTATAAGTTGAGGTGCAATATAAATAATTTTAACATTTTTAACTCTTATTGGATGTATATACTAATATGTAAGCTAATAAATAAAAACTTTCATAAAAAATTCTGAATATGGCTGCCTCTGTATCTGTATTGTAATAAACCTACAAAACACTGCATAATTAGGAGGAAAACACTTATAGTTTAATATCTAAATCTAAAGTTACCAAAGAAAAGTTTGAAAAATTAAGCATATGCATCGATCCTATTGCGTAAATTTTAATATAACCTGATGTTAGAAGTATATTCGCTAACTACAAGTAAAACTTAAAAACGGATCATCTGTACCACATATACAAATGTATACAAGGGGATTCAAAATTGGCATCATTTCTTTTAAGGGTATATAGGTGCCGACTTAGAGAGAACGAAAAATATATAGAAAAAAATTTCGCCGCAAGTGAAAAAAAAGTGAAAAGCGGCAATGATGTTTTTTGTCATTAACAGATGGTTACAGGTAGACAGCCTTTGTCAATAATAACAAGCATTTGTCAAACCGTGGCTTATTTTGGAGCTTCTTTCACAAAATGAAAACCAACAGCGAATTTGTGAATATGCGATTAGTTATGGGAAAATGCCACAGTAACATAGCAGAAGCTGTCAGAACTTACACCAGCAAAGAGCTACACACTAGACGAGTGGCCCGAAATGAACGCAGATAGTGGACAATCTAAAGATGCTCGCTTTCCTGACCTAGAGCAACAGGTATTGGAGATTATTGCAGCTGAGCCTTCCAGGAGGACTTGAAGTTGCACAACTGCACTTTCTCAATCACCGGATACTTAATTGTCCCGATAACTCCCCCATGGAAGGGCCTACATTCCTATCATGTATGTAATATGTACGGGACACTAGAACACACTAAATCTCTGATCTTCCGAACACCGGTTCAAATTGAGCAGCAGTTAATTAACCGAACATGAAAATCTGCTCAAAATATGAGCCCAGACTTCAAAGTGATTGAGACACAAAGATAGGTGTTTGGAGTGAAACAAGAGCAGGACTTCTTGCTCTTGGGAACACTGTGTTTTAACAACAGAATTGTATTTTATTTGATCAATAATGTTGAGAAATGACGCCAATTTTGAATGACTCTGTATATTAAAAAACTAGCGTAACTAGGATGTTTGATTTTTTTATGAATAATATTTAAAAATTGTTTTTAAATTATTAGTTTATATTCCATATTTCTTTGCATTCGCTTTCAGTTGGCCATCTGAAACAGAAGATTATCGGTTACAAAAAGCATATCATATTTCAGTATTCTTTTTAATAATTGTTCATATTATTAACAAACAAATGAGGCGTGCTTACTACAATAACAAACTGAGGTATGTTTTTCAATAGATTGAAAAGGTTGACCAGTCTTTGGAAGAGACAAATAAATGCTCAAGCATTTAAACCGACCAAGTTTTTCAAGTAAATTTATACAGATTTACGTGTTAGCCATAATAATAATCCAGGATTCGCGCTTTAACCTCGGTAGCATACGGACGTACCAGTGCGAGCGTATATAAATACCTAAGATATTCGCAAACTGCGAGGAATTTTGGTAG